CTACGTTGTACTACTTATTCTGTATATCCTTTGACTTCAGCAAGCACCTCAGCAGGTCTTCTTGGTTCTTTCCTCAGTATGGTGACCCCTACTTTCATTTCTAAGATTCTGAACCATTTGATGTTCTGCCTTGATTGGATTGTTATAGTTTTCCATTGACTTTAATAACAAGGCATTGTCTTAGTAGGAGGTGCCCCAAAGGACCCCCTGCACTCTAAGTATATTTTTTTTGTCTCCTCCATTGTGGAGTAATCGTCTAATTTTCATTAACAGTCTGGGTTAATCACCCCTCTCAGCACTGTAACACTCTTTTCAGCCTGATTCCTCAAAGTCATAAGGCAACCAAAATGACCAGGGGAAAGTCTTTTCTTCTAGTTCAACAGTGTTGTTGTGCTTCCTGGTACAGTACCCCCCCCCCGCCCAAACTAAGACTACTTTCTAAGTCAGCAGACCATAAGGTCATGAGAACGGTGCAAAATTTTGCTAATAGATCACTTCGGTAATGGTCAGTGGTCCACTCTTACTTCCACCCCTTCATTACTGGTCCTATGAATCCTGCCTATGGGAAGCACACTGCCATATAGTGGATGCTGACTCAAAGCATGTACAGCCTTTTGAAGAACCTTGCCCCAGCCTTGCAAGCTATAGCCATCTAAATGGTGTTGCAAGTGTGTCTTCAAAAGACCATTCCACCTTTCTATCCAGATGCTTCTGAGTGTTGAGGAATGTGCTAAGACCAGTGAATTATATGAGCATGAGCCCATTACCTCACTTCTTTGGACATCAAATGTGTTCCTTGGTGTGAGATCCAATACTATGTGCAGTTCCCTGGTAGTTGTTAATGCATTGTGTGAATCTATGGATGGAAGAATAGGCAGAAGCATTACAGGCAGAAAAGGCAAATTCATATCTACAGTATATATGCCAGTAAGTACAAAGCACACTCATTTCCATGATGTAAGTAGTTAATCTGATCAGCTTGTGGAAGGCTGGTCATCCCAGAGAATGGTGCCATACTGAAGAATCAGTATTGGTCTCTGCTGGTAACCTCTTTGGTATTCAGCAGCGGCTGTAGCCAGATCTGGGTTGGTGACTGAGGGTCCATGTTACTGAATATGCATAACCTTCAACCTTCCTAACAGGGCCACTGTGTCCATGGGCCCTCTGGGAAGTTACAGGGTTGTCTGAAGAGAAGTTGACTACTATCTACAGAACAAGTCATCTTATCCACTTGATTGTTAAAGTCCTCTTCTGCTGAGGTCACTTTTTGGTGAATATTACATGGAATACAAATATTTTTTATATCCTTTGCCCATATACATGAGTCTGTTCACATACTACATCCACAAATGTCTTTGTCACCAATTTTCCAGTTATGTTCCTTCAAGTTCCTGACCCACAGTGAAACAATTGACTGCAGCCCATGAATCAGTATACAGTCACATATCTGCGCATTTTTCCCATCAGGCAAAATGTACTCCCAGTACACTGCCTAAAGTTCTACCCACTGGGAAGATTTCCCTTCATGACTGGTCATAAGGGACATCCTGGAAAGGAGTTGTGTTTCTGCAGCTGTCCCTTGTAGGGTATGCCTGCATAGCATTGCAGAACCATCAGGAAACAGTGGCTAGCCAAGTAGCAGGCCAAGAGCTGTTTTTGAAAGGAGAGTAATGGTCTGCAGATGATTGCAGAATCTTGCTCCAAAATCCTAAAAGTCTCCATAGCAACTTACATTTCAGCATCTGCTAGGGACTACAAACAGCATCCCTACCTGCTACTGATGCTTGAAATACTATTGGATCTGCTGGCTCATATGACTCCAGTGGCAGAGCAACCTGCAAAGCAGCCTGGACCTCTTGCAGAGACTTGTCCTGTTCTGGGCCTCACTTAAAATTAGCTGTTTTCTGAGTAACTCAGTAAATGTGCCGGAGTAAAACACCTAAGTGAGGAATGTGTTCCATCTAAAATCCACACAGATCAACTGGGCATTGTGCCTCCTTTTTGGTTGTAGGGGAAACCAGATCAATAATTTATCTTTCACGTCAGAAGGGATATTTCAGGGGCTGGGGATTTAGCTCAGCGGCAAAGTGCCTGCCTGACAAGCGCAAGGTCGTGAGTTCGGTTCCTGGTACCGGAGAAAAACCAAAAACCAAAAAAAAAAGAAGGGATATTTCTACATTCCCATAACACTGAATGCCAGAAATTTCACTGAAGTGGAAGGACCTAGAAATTTAGTGTTATTTCTTTTTCACCCTCTGGCTCTCAACTTCTTTACTACCAAAATCAAAGTAGTTGCTCTCTCCTCACTTGGTCCCACCAGCATAATATTATCAATGTAATGAACCAGTGTGATGTCTTCTGGAAGAGAAAGGCTATCAAGATCCCTGCAAATTTGTGACACACTGTGGGAGTGTTAACATAACCCTGAGGTAGGAAAGTAAAAGTGTATTTCTGGCTTTGCCCACTAAACACAAATTGATTCTGATGGGCCCTATGGATAGGTATTGAGAAGGAAGGTATTTTCCAAATCCATAGCCTCATACCAAGTACCAGGAGATGTGTTAATCTTCTCAAGCAAAGATACCACATCCAGTACAGCAGCTTCAATTGGAGTCACAACTTGATTCAGTTTATGGTATGTACCATCATTCTCCGAGATCCATTCATCTTGTGCACAGGTCAGATTGAAAAATTAAATGGAGATGTAGTGGGAAATACCATCTCTGCATCCTTCAACCTCTTGATAGTGGTAATAATCTCTGTAATACCTCCAGGAAAGTCATTTTTATTTACTGTTTTATTCAGCACAGCCAACTCTAATGGTTCCAGTTGGCCTTTCCAAGTATATTAGCCCTAACACTACAGCTTAAGGAACCAATGTGAAGGTTCTGCCGAGTACTGAGTACACCTATTCCAACTGCCTATTCTGGAATTGGGGAAGTAACTACAGAATGAGTTTGAGGATCTACTGGACCAACAGCTTAATTCCATTGATTGTCTGATCTCCTTAGGAACCTAATGGTACTGGAGGTCCACAATTATATTTTTCATCTTCTGAAATCAGCTCAGAACCTGTGTCCAATAGTGCACAAAATGTCTGATTTTTTTGGCCCCTGTTGTACACTTATTCTGGTGAAAGGCCTCAGGTCCTCTTGGAGAAGGATAGAAAAGAGATAGATCATACACATTTTTCGTGGTGCACCAGGTTCCTTCCTGAAGGGAACCTCATTTCCCCTTTGTTCCAGGGGTTCTGGATCTATAAATTGGCTCTAATCCAGGAGCTGCTTGAGGGACCAATTGCCTCTCACTACAATTTGAAGTAAATTTATATTCATTTGCTCTTATTTTCTTAAATTTTACCAATCTAGTGAAAATTTTGTAGGCTTCCCATCTATTTCACTTTTGGAGACACCATGGATAATAAACAAATGCCATAGTTCTACACTATCTGTAGTCAGACTGTTCTGATCATTGTTCTGCTTCTACTGTCCATTTTGGTAAATGTGAAAACTTTCCTCTTGGTGATTCCATGGTGCCACTTGACCCCTTGTACTCTAGGATCCAATCAAACCCATTAACCTTAAGTTTTCCATTTAAGG